TAATATGTATCGGTGTTGGGAATCAAGTTACCCTTGGGTGGCCCCATGTACCCCCCCCCCCCCCCCCTCGCGACAGACACGTCGGAGAAGGTATCTTTTTTTCCCCTTCATAATCATACGTGTATAAGCGTGGTGAGTTAGCTCTCTCTCGTGAACAAGAAACGAATAGCCAAGTGAATAAATAAATCGACTTTGACATGCACGGGAGACGATCGGAAGGACTTTACCCTAATACGGTCTAATTAGGAATCATCGTCTGATTATTATGTCTGTGTACTGTTTGTTTTGAGCAATTCAAAGGGTCGCTGAAAGGTTGTTGACATTACCTTAGGTTTATAGTTTGAAAGTGCGTCTTATTGTGTAAAGTCGACGTGGATCACAACAAAAATCAGGGTCAACATCGTAGCCGCCTATTAAAAAAGTTTATTAAAATTTGTAAATCTGGAATACAATATTGCTTCTAATTATGTTGCGTATCATCTCATTGACCCGTTATTATTCCACTTGAAAACAAACAAATAAGATCAGATGGGGAGGGGGGGGGGGGCGGAGGATGTAGGGCTATGATTTAATACACAGATTTCCAAACGAATGGTGTGGATAAATTATGTTACCAGTACCACGCGTATGGTATACATCGTCGACTCTCATTCCTAGCATACCATAATGACTTGTCGGCATGCAGACCATTGGGTCGTCTTCTACTGCCGGGGTAAAAAGGTCAAGTCCAAATTAAAGGATGCCTCCCCACCATAAGCAGTGGCGGATCCAGGACTCTCTAGCAGGAGGGGATGGGCCTGGGACAAGTATGGCATGAGTGTAGCCTATAGCATGCCTCTCCCCCCCCCAAAAAAAAGTACAAATTCTACTTTTTTGTCGGGGTACGTGCCCTTGCAGCCCCGATGGATCCACCACTGGTAAGTTATAGTAGAGCGAGAGGATACACCCTGCCATTATTTAGGCACACACAGGGGGCAGGACCCCCCCCCCCCCCAGGGGCGGAAAATATTATTATTCAGCGCCGCGTTCCGCTTGCGCAGACAGAGGGGAGTCTGAGGGGGGACGAGCCCCTCTGAGAAGCTGAAGAAGAATATCAATTTCATTGAGTTATGTATACACACTATAGTGTGTGAAATATAAATTTGAGTCGAAAAGGTAATTTTTTTGTAAATAGGCCTAACTGTTCCCTTGTTGGCAGTATCTCGGTATATTATTAATATTAACTTGACAAAAGTGATTAAACATTTAGAAGTGCAGAAAACCAGAGAATTTGGAGTGCGGATTGCAATTGATAAGTACTTCTTCTGTAGTCTGTGATATTTCAGGAAATTTACAGCATCCAGCCGCTTGTCACAATCTTGCCCATATTTTGAATTTCCTAAGTTAAAAAAAAAATCAAAAACTTCCTGGGGCTCCGCCCCCAAGACTCCAGGCAAAGGCTCTCCCACTGAGTTTTATATAAATTTCTAACAAACACTCCCGTGTACCTTTTACTATTTACACAATTTCTTGCTGTTTGCAGCCTCGGGATCACTGGAGAGAAGAAATGTAACTATTATCCCTATTTAGTGAAGGATTAATCCTTTTCATGCAGACGGATTCTTCTACAATTTTTTAAAACCAAAAATGCGTTTCAGGCTCAATTATGTTAGCATCATCTTATTGAATGTTGTTTCCCCAAAGAAAGCACTTATCTTTCATAAAAAAAGGTCCGAATTCTATAAAGCCAATGGGAAGGACGATTAAATAGGCCAAACTATGTTCTTATGCTCTTCTATTAGACATTTCCACCAGTTCATTTCCGCCACAAGAAATAGACATACGTGTATGGGGCATTTTGATTTTGTGTGAAAAGAAAAAAAGTGTTTTAAAACAAAAAAGGCCCGAATTTTACAGAAGATACGATAACATTATTGTGTGGACAACAGTTTACATTTTTATTCAATATTTACTTTCTTTTTCCTCTGGCTCGATTAGTTGACCAATGTAAAAGATAATTATAAAAGAAGAAATTCAACGTTTTTTGTAATTAATGTACACAGGTCTATGGAGAGGGTTTGGCTCGCACTCGCGGATAGCTAGGCAGACTCGCAAAATGCAACAAACTTTTCGGTATGAAATTTCTAACAAACACTCCCGTGTACCTTTTATTGTTTATACAATTTCTTGCTGTCTGCAGCCTCAAGATTACTGGAGCAAAGAAATGTAACTATCCCTATTCAGTGAAGGATTACTACTTATCATGCACGGACGGATTCTTCTACCATTTTTTTTTTTACCAGAAATGCGTTTCAGACTCAATTATGTGGGCATCATCTCATTGAATGTTGTTCGGAATCTACTACTGAATAAGATGGAATGCCTATTATGAGGCTTTTGTACTCTTTTAAAAAGAGCACACAATAGGGGAATTGCAATTTCAATTTTAAGGGATGGGTTAGATTTTTTATCGCTCACGACGGCTATCTAGATGTTCTGAATTGCCAAACTCAAGAGCGTCCTGCAGGGCTCTGCTCCGGAACCCCCAGCAAGGAGTCTGCCAGCCCCCCGCCCCCCCCCCGCCCCCATCTCTGCCGTGTTGTACGGAACCATTAGAAAGTAAAATAAGCCCCAATAAATAATTCATATATAAATATATGTGCTTTGTCTCTGTGGTCTGCCTCTTGACCCAATCCAGTAGGGCTAGCATTAATTTACGGGTGATTCCAGTATAATATGCGTCGCGTACTCGCAGAACAAACGAAAGGGAAATAATTATTCTTCTCACGAACGCCAAAGAAGAATCAAAGGAAAAAACGACAAATTCCGCGGGAGGGTGATAATTATACCTCTCGATCGTATCCCGATATTTTCTCTAGCGAATTATAGTTTCGGGTCTAATTAATTTTCATCTAAAGATATGAGGTTGAAGTGTAGGAATTATAGGAATATTGTTCGGTCCATCGTTGGAAGTTAATATTCTGCATAGTACCCCCCCCCCCCCCCCCCCCCCGAGACCAATCACTGGATTGACGAGTAACCACAAGTCTATATTTCCTGATAATCTATATTATAATAGACATTTTTTTTCTTCAAGCTTATAGTTTAGATAACCTATCAACGATGAATATTGAATTTTATTATCGTAGGTGGTGGGGTATCATAGCACCTTGTATGCCTTCCTTAACTTGGAGACGCCCTCCTTGGGCCCTGATACACGCATTGAACGAGAGTATAAAGGTTCTTGGGATGTGTGCATTCATACAATTAAATCGTAGTTTATATCTAATTCGGTACCAGTGATTATCAAAATACTGTTGCTGAAATGACATGATTTTCCAGGATTTTTTCTCACTTTTTTTGTAAATTTTACTTATACTAGTATGCGTTTGTTGGAAATGAAAAATTCCCATAGTTATAGTGCATCTTTTTCATAAAAAGGTGCCCCCTTTTACTTCAGATAAGCGCCCCTTTTTTAATTTCAAATAAGTGCCCGTTCCACATTCTTATACCGACTCTGACTGTCGTCAATATCCGCTTCCCCCCTTAAAAAATTGCCCATTATGGTGGTAATACGGATTTTGTTCTGCCCCCCCAAAAAGTTCCCTCCCTCTCTCTCTCTCTCCCTCTCTCTCTCCCTCTCTCTCTCTCTCTCTCTCATTAATTCTCCCTCCCTCTAAAATCCTTACCCCTTCCTTTATTTGATGAATGATAGTTTGCCCTCGATCATTGTATCTTACGTAACCATGACATCTTACAATGTCAATGAAGAAAGAAGAACAAAATCCTTGTCCGTGTGAACACCGAAAAATGCCTATTTGTGATAATTTATTGATTCGTACCTTGGAAGACAGGTCCAAGTCCATTTATGAGGATCAACAAACATCCTCTGTTGACGATTTACAAACTAACAATTTACACAAATTTACACAACAAACAGTACAAGAAAGTCTTTACAGCATGTTATTATAATAGAAGTATACCATAACAAATTTTCAAACAGAAATTAAAGCACACGTCTATCCAACAATGCTTGCATAAAAATAAAACAAGTAGGAATTATCATAATATAAAAGAACGACAACTTTTTTGTTTTGTTACGTCATACATATTCTGTTAGTTAGCATTGGCCCTGGCGTGATCGCGAGAAAGAAATGTGAATATTTGTTCATAATTATATTAGAATGTCTTTCTAATGTACAATTCCATAATCATTCGAAGTGCACCAAAATATGATGATATAGTCAGTTCCCTTTAAAAAAAATTTAGGTTATTCGCCACAGTCTGGAGGTAACAACACTCTCATGAACCCTTTTTAAAACTTTGAACAAACATGAGAGAGTTGGCTATAAATACAAGAATAAACATAACCAGATGATTTACAACGTTTGGGCCCATAACATACAAGAATGGACATAACCAAAATACAAAATTAAAAAACAAACAAACAAACAAAAGTATGATCACGACCGACAGTGGTTTAAAGAGATTTTTTTCTCCAAAAAGAAAAAGCAAAAGCATTCCTCGTTCTTTTCATCTTACTCATTTTTAATTTTGCCGGTAAAGCTCAAGAAATTCAAAATTTGCCGACAGAAGTTATTTAAACCTCCATTAGGCCTAAAATAAAAACTTGTTGTATTGCCCTTTGGGTGCCAAAACATGGTTCGGTCGGTTGGAAAAGATTTTTTTTTTAAACTTTTTTTTTGTCGCTCTCTTTGGGCCGATATTTTCAGATTTGAATGTTTTTTTGTTTTTTTTCCCGCCCTCTAGTTTTTAATGCTTTAATACATGTGCTTCAGCGTCATCATTCCATTGATATCTTTTTCACCTCATAATTATCCATGGTTTGCACGAGTGAGAATTTTGGAATAATTTGATTTTATGCATTTATATCTCATTTAAACAAACAAAATACATATATTTTTATATTTTTATTCATTAATAAAAAAAAAATCTTAAAAACGGTTAAAAAAAAAAAAAAATGCCGACCGTACATTTTCAGATTGCAAAGGGCAATGCAACAAGTTTTTTATTTTAGGCCTTACCCCCCTCCCCCAATTATTGACGCCTCTGGAAATGAAACAAACTCTAATTGGTGGTGGTCCTCGGTCGATGACGGGGTCATCTCAGTAGATCGACAGCCCACGAGACCGACATTGATGAATCTGTTTACTAGACCGATTAAAAAAAAATCTTAATACAGAAAAGTTAAGAAAAAAGAAAATAAAGAAAAGGAGAAAGTTTTAAAAGGTCCTAGAACCTTTACATCAACAGCCAATGACACCGATAAAAAAAAATTAACAAAGGGTGATATAAAACGTCGGTCTTGTTCGGGCTGTCCGTCTCGTGGGCCATCGGTCTTGTGAACCCTCAACAAAATTGCCGTTGTTATAGCCAATGTTCCTTAATGACATCCGTAATCGGTTATTACTGCTCACTGCATGAGAAGGTCGTTTGTGTGAGACATGTCATACCATAAGTTTCCAGATTTTCGTAAGGACCTGTAAGGGGAAAGAATAATTCAGATTGCAAACAAAATAATAATTGTGACATAAAAAAGCTAAAACACCTTACAAAATTCCTCTGCAACGAGTGATAATTCGTATGCTGTCTTTAACAATAATAATTATCCTACTTCAGATTATTAAATTATTCAAAAGCTAACGTAGGACAAAAAAGTACTACATGTATCTTACCCTACATTCGTCTACGAAAATGATGTCAGGGTACTGTAGCAATGGGTGCTTGGGGCGGAAGGGGTATGGACTGGCTTAAGGGCAGAAGGCAGTGTATATTGATGGAAATTGATTTAGGCCATTTCCTCCATGTTCATAGTGCCGTCGAATTCTCTCTTTTAATTACGTTCTTTGTGTTCTACATTCTACTTTAAAATGCGGGTCGCCAAACCAGATTCAAGAGAAGCGTGAGTATTCTGGCAAAGTGAAACATTAGTTTTGAGCTTTCTCATTCTTTGAAGATGATGTTTATAAGGCCGGTGTTTAGGCTGGGCATAATACCATCGATGCGTACGAATTCATGGATCACGCCATCTTCGGCTTGCAGCAGGTATAGTCTAGGGAATGGGGTCGCGAAATTAAATAACACCACCCAGATTCTGGACTTAAGGAAAATACCGGGAAAATACTGGCACCCGGAGCCAGGTTATACAACTTTAGAGCTAATGATAAACTTTCAACAAACTATTTATCATGTCATCTGAACGAGGAAAAAGAATTACTATGAAAAGAATTACTATGAAAATGATATTACCTGAGAATATCAAACATGGCGGTCCAGAAAGGCTTGTTGATGTATGGAATGTTGTGCTTCTTACAAAGAGACTCCACTTGTGGTTTGATCTTTGAGAGGTTGTGTCTCGGCATAGTTGGGAATAAACTGTATTAATAGTAAAATACAAACATATATCAGGAAAAACAGCAGTAAAAGCGATGTATCAAAGGCAAATTAAAATCAACAAAAACAACATTAAAAACCGGTACAAAATAATACAAAGTAAAAGTTATATTTCATTGGCGATAATAAAGATTTATCAAATTTATTAATAGTGTGACAAAGTGAATTTGTTTCAAGGCGTCATTAATTTTGCTATTAATGATCAATAATATTCTCGAAATGATGAAACGAGATTGTTAACAAACATTATTTCAACAGAGTACCAACTTTCATCTTATATATAATGTAAATCCATGCATCTATTGAGCAGGCACGGGAATAATTCTCTCTCATTTTCTAGCCTTTTCTTTCCTTTTTTTCTTCTTATCCCACTCCTCAACTGGGGGAGAACACACGCCCCCCCCCCACCTCTGTGTCTACGTCAATGTGTAATGCTACTTACTGATGCTCAATTTGGAAGTTGAGATGACCCGTAAACCAATCAATGAAAGGGGAAGATTCGAGGTTACATGTAGCATGCATCTGCGGATGATAATTTGTATTATACATCATAATATCATTGCATAATCAAGTGATGTCATGAGAGAAGAATGATTAAGAGAGGTGAAAAAATATCATCAGAAATATTGTGATTTTTAAAAATAGGAGTAAATATTCCCCCAGTTTCTGATCTCGTGAGGTGGCGCCAAAATATCGTTATGTTTGACCGAACATAAGAGTAAACCTGTCTCTAATTTGCGAACGCGACTTTACTTGGTTCTATTTCATTTTGATGAAGAGCGCCATCTCAATACCAAAGCGATATAACCACTGAAACCGATCGCTTAATATTTCATATTCAACCGCATCTTTTTGTTAATTATTCAAATCCCTTTTTTGTTTAGTTTTCTATTTTCACTTATCGCCCTACTCTCTTTGCAACTTTACCTTTCTCCACCTACCCTACCCCCCCCTCTCTCTCTCTCTCTGCATACGCGTCTCTGTTTCACTCCTCTCTCTTTCTAACTGCCTACCTTCATTATAATTTTATAAGGATTAATTACCTGAAGAGGGACCCAGTGTTTATCCTGTTCATCATGTTCCACTGCCATTGGAATGTGGTTCGACTGACTCACCCATACAAACCACGCACTCTGGATGACCCTATATAATTATGAAAAGAAATAAGTCATTTACACAAAAAGTTAGACGTCCTAACGAATTAAATTCATTAAATCTATTTTTTTTAATGTCAAATTAAAAAATGTGATATAACAATCGTTTATTTATGTATATTTTATTTCTAGGATGAAATTACATTTTTTTTTAATGTAAAGTAAAAGTGAAATAATTTTCTCCAACAAGGATGAATTTGATAAGAATTCTATATAAAGACGCCTAACGGAGTTTTTTTAAGAAAGTGTCAATCATAATCGCATTAATCAGTATTCTTATTGACAGAAAATTATAATGGTACGTCAATCTTACAAAGTACTGTTTCATTGCCTCTGTCAACCAATAGATTACTTTGAATTTTAAACAGTTTATATTTATTTTTATAAAATCAAAAGAATTAGGCAAAAGTAAATAACTCACCTTCCAAGATACAAAATGATATATGCTCCAAAAAGCCCAGTCAAGGGTAAGAAGAAGTAGAAATAACGGACGAAATACAACATCATAAGGAAAAGGTCCTGTCAAGAAAGCATATCAAAAATGTGTTCAATCCACAAACTGTTTTTTGAGCGATGTACACTTTTAGCAAAATGAATGGCTGAATAATCTTAAAACATAGAAAACTATATACAGAATGATTAAGCAAAATAGTTCATGCGGTTAATAAACAAGATTTGTATTTCGTCCTTTCCTACTTTATGTTTCATGTATTATCATATACAGAAATATATCGTTGTTATAATATTATGCCTGTAATGTTTTCAAAAAAATTCTCACCAGCCATTCTCTCCTTTTGAAGACAAAACGCAAAACTTCGTAGTAATAATATACAACCAGCAATAACGGAGACACTGTATGAAAAAGAAAAATATGAAGGAAAAAAGTTAAGGTAAGATGAGAAACATAATAAAGATCATTGCATTTTCTCATATCTCGGATGTCAGGGGCCCTAACATTGTTAAAGGAGGCATGTCGAGTACTATTTTTTCAACAAATTTAACGGCAAAAATTAAACCATTTCCGAAAAGAATTTTTACAAACAATGAAGCTCCGAAAGCAATAAACATTACCAACAGAAATGTTGAAAAGGGGCCTAGCTACACCTCTTTAATAGCGAAGCGCTGGAGGTGGGTGAAGTCTATTTCGGTTCGATATTAAGGTTTGCACATAAAGGAAATTATGCATATATATTTTCCTTTTCAATTACATTTACAAATATTTGCTTAACAAGGTAGTTCTGCGTTCATCGATTAAAGGTAATTACGATTTATACGCAACACAGTCCATGATTATTTTTTGAAGCTTTATGCCTCACGAGGATAAAGACTGTACAGTATTCTCTTTTAATGAAAATAATTTCTCAAGTCTAGAAAACTAGAAGACGCTGTCAAGTTCTTTGTGTATAGTCTTCAAAATCGAAGTTTGCAATAATTATATCTTCAGAAAAATAAGTTTGAGGAATACTGTTTTACTTACAAACAGTGAAGTATTGATGTTGATGTTGGTAAGGCATGAAACCTTTCTTTGACTTGGCCATCTCAACCGGGATGGTGTCACCAACCAATAGGAAGACCTCCATTTTGATGTCAGGATCCTTATCGATCTAAACAATCGAGGACAAAATAAAACACGAGATAAAGCTTTTAGTTTAATGATGAAATCATAAAAGTGATGTCAATGGCTGACCTAAAAAGAGTAACCTTACCCCCCCCCCCTACGGGGCAAAATGTCAAATTTTCAAATTGCGAGACCAAAAAAAAAAAAAAAGTGTCCTCTCCCCCCCCCCCCCCCCCCCCCCCCACGCTTATTCAGCGGCTGGCTGAGTCGCTGCGAAATTTTTGGCCCGATTTCAAAATGTTAACCCCCCCCCCCCCCCCACCCTTGAAAAAATCCTGCGTACGCCACTGGTTGTATGGTTGTATAGTTTCCTGCGTTCTGATTGGTTAAAACTATACAACCATTCGATTGATGTATAGTAATGTTTGTATGGTTGAGAAGGCTAGAAGCATTAAGAAAAAAAGTAGTTGTTAATGGATAATTGTATGCATAACAGTAGCATAAACACTTCTAATTTGCTCAAACAAATATCTTACCACATTTGGTTTAGAGTGATGCAAATAATGGCGATACTTCCACCACGATGCTGACACGCCCTGTGTGGTGTGAGATAAAAGAGAAGAAAAGAGGAGAGAGAGGGTCGGAGAGAGAGAGAGAGAAAGAGAGAGGGGGAGAGAGAAGAGGAGATGGAGGAAGACAAAGAGAGCCAAAGAGGGAGAGACACACAGAGACAGAGAGGAAGTGAGAGAGAGAAAAAAAAATGTGCGGGCGGGAGACGAGGGTAGGGCAAGGGAAGGAAGAGGGAGAATAGAGAGTTAATTCTTATTCTTAAATTACTCGTATTTCCGCTAATTACAATGCTCCAGTTTTGTCACACTTAATCTTCAATCACTATCAAATCCTAGACATCATAATTTCTTTAAAAGATATATTTAAAAAACCACCTGAATTCCAGTGAACACCAGCTTCTGAGCCATGAGATTAGCCTTGGTCGACTTGAAGACGGACAGGTGGCCGAAGTCGTGATTGAGCCACGACCCCTGCGTCTGACTGGTCCCGATGAGCACGGCTGCGAGGATCCAAGAGAGAACGGTCCCGCCGAGGAGAGAGACTACCAAGTAGGCTGCGATCTCCAGTGCGATGATGTGTGAGAGGTGGAAGACGTAGAACCAATAGTTTGGCTCGTAGAGACCCTGTTTGGTGGGGGAAAAGAGGGAAACGTTTCTTCGGTGGCAAGTCAATCTACAACAATTATAGCTCAAAATAAGCATCATTATATAGGAGATTTATAATTTAACGACGACAAATTCTAGGACAAGTCGAACAATAGTAATACCTGAATGGTTCCTTGAAACAAAATTTTAAATGGTTATTTGAATAATTATGGGAAAATCAATAATTTGAAAGCTTTGGTTAATCAGAAAATATGGTAGCGTTCCGACAATGCGTATCTATTATGTAAGAAAGATTTTTACTCAATGCGACACAAGACTACTGACATTCCTGATTTAACATTATCATCCTAAAGATCGTAAAAGATATTTAAGCTTTCAGTTTTGACGGCACAAATATAAAATAATTGGAATAGTAGATAACAAGGTATAGTCTACAATGAATAATATTCCTGTCATCGAGCAAACAAGCAAACAAGCAAAGTCTAGTTATGTAATTATGATTCATAATGCAAATACAGCAAGCAAGTTTATATATATTACCATTTTCTTTGTCAGGTCTCTGAGGTCACTGAAGTCTCGAGAGAGGTCAGATATGTGCTCATCATAACCTTTGACCTTCCCTATTCGATACATGTTCAAATACTTGCTAACGTATTGACGGTCTCGATGGAAAGCGCCGAATGCATCCTAAGTGAAATTACACAAAATACAATTAACGTACATTAATTTGTAGAAAAATGAGTTTCTTATGAAAGTAGTAATGAGTAAACTAACAATATTAATACAAATAAAACGTGTTATCTCGAACAAATGGTGGGGCCTGGATATGTGACCACCCCCTCGCCCCCAACTCATTTTTGGAGGTACTTCCTGTTAAATTGTCGCGAGTCAAGTAACAAAATAAGGAATTTTCCCTAAATGAACTTGTTGCATGCAGCCCCAAAACATGTTCATCCACTTACCTGCTGGTCAATAACGACGGCACTGACTTAAATACCAATATTATCTGGGTTTTTTTTTTCCTTCAACATTCTTTTTATTAGCTACGAATGTAAGGGCCTTTCATTTTCTGCTGAGCAGGGGCGCAGGGACACGTCCCCCCCCCCTCAATTTGTTAAGGGGGATCGTCCCCCTTCCCAGGAAAATTTGAAAAAGTGCACACAAATGTATAGCAATTACTGACTAAAGACTGCATCAAACTTTTAGGCTCTGGAGGGCCCAAGAGTGCAGCGTTAGACTAATACAAATGCGAAAATCTTCTTGCTCGGTCGCTACGTTCCCTCGCATAATATCCTTCACAATGCTCCCTCGTCCCTCGCGTTTCGTCCCCCGGTCAAGAAAACAAATCGCCGCCCCTGCTGCGGAGGATGTATTATTTTCTTGGGCGATGGCACAAAAGATTATTTCAATATAATAATAATTTGTATCTACTAAAGTCTGAACCCTTCTATTACTTTTCTTGTTCGTCGCTTTTCTCATCTTGTCACAAATAACAAATAAAAATTCCCACTTTGTGAACACTCATTTTTTGTTAATATGGTAATCATGAGCATTTCCCACCGAAGTATTAAACCTACCGAAGCATCTTGTCCTGCGTAGTGACTGATGATAGCCTTCCCACCCGGATGTCTTCTTGACCATTTGCTGATATCATACACGTCACCGTCTATCACCAACCACTTGTCTTCTGGCAGGACATGGGTTCGAATCTCATCCCAGGTGAAGATGGCAGATGAGCCTGGTGTCGGCTCGCTAGAGCGGTTTCGAAGGGTCGCATCGGCGGGGTCTGCCGATTTAGTGCCATTTGACCGAAGATCTCTTGATGTCCGCATGATGATTGCAAATGAATTCGAAGTCTTTTGTAGAGAAACAGTCAAGAGAATGTTTGGATAGACTAAACAATCGTGAGTAAATTATCATGGGAAAATCCGAAGACCAACAAAACCGACAATCAGTGCGTCGATTGGTCTCGTGAATATTACGAAAAGATACAAAACAATCATGTTAAAGAGAATCGCGAGACCGGCATTGTCAGGGTTTCGTGAACTGTTAGAAAAGATATTATGCCACTAGACCAACATTGTTGGTTTTGTGCAGGGCCGTTCGTTTACTGGGTTGTTGCTTTTATAATAGCGCCTATTCAAATTATGACAGAAGTTTCGTTTTGAAATGAATAGCACTTGACACTATCATTATTATTACGATAGTGTCTCATGCGCTGTACTTTTCCAATTCATAAATGACTCGCTCAAATGCCACACAGGGCCGAAATTGAAATAGAGATACCTTGCAATGTCGCAAATATCCGGATAAAATAATCCATGTATACTTACTCTTGATGTATGAGAAATACGATCCTTTCAGAGGTTAATGATTTATGGATTTTCAATAACCAATGTATGCATGCTCTTCGGACGTGTATCGAATCATAATGGCCACCCCTGTACGTGTGGTTTCGAATGATAACTGTGTCAATATGGCTTTCTGACATGGAATTAGGGATGCTACTTTTCACAATGTCCATGTGTGCTTCATGATGATTAATCATCTTTCTTAATTGTTGATGAATTTTTGCAGGAGTACGCTTTACAAAATAATAACCCCACCTAATGTATTTCGTTGCCATGCAGCTTTCCAGCTGCCATGACAACCATTGTGATATAGCAAAGACAGAAACCCATTCGTTTGGCTCATCATTTCCATTCATGACGCCTGTGTATTGAGCGAGGCGAACTTGAACTGGAACATCGTTATGGAATATTATGACCTTTGAGCCCCGAGTAGCGATCAGCTCATGAAATCAAAATATGATCGTACCATTTCCTTATCGAGTTCCTGCTTCGCCCTTGCAGTATATAATTCAGCACGTATATGACCATGATGTCAAGTGGGAGTAATATGAGGCGGGAAAGGGTTCGATGCCCGGATAGATAAGATGGGACCAAATGATAACTTGAAACGTAAGATGATCAATTATGTCTCAGCTTGACAATAACATTTCAGACTTTGAAATGGATGACAAGAGATATTATGGGATAGGATTGTAGGCACCGATGTCTTTTTCCCCAAGAAAGGTAAATACAACAGTGGCTTTCGTTCGAGAGAAAATTATGAAGAACCATGAATATCAGTGAACCATTAGAAGTCCGACTTTTATTCATATAATGGAGCCTTGATTCCAAGTTCAAGTTCAATCTTATTATCTACACTTTAAAAAAAAATAACGAACAATCAAACAATTATTAACAAGCAATTAAAAAAAACTGGTATAGACAATTAATGGTTTAAAAAGAAGTAATACACAACAAAATGTGGGATTAAAAGGGCAATACATTTTTCGACCTATCGGAGGTCAATCCCCCAAAACATTGATTATTATAAAAGAGTTGATATATATTGGTTCCCTTGTCATTTTGTTTATTTGAATCAGGCTTCATCACTCTGTTCTCGATAACTAGCGCGTCGGAGATTCGTTCGTCCTACCAAAGAGATACCAGTTTGTGGTATCTCTTTGGTCCTACCAATACTAAACTTTGAATTCAAAATGAATGTTGACATTGAACTTTCATCATTTCTCTATCGTCCCCTCTCCCCTTTTACGTTTTCCCTCCATCTCTCTCTCTACTCTCTGACTCTTTGACTCTTCACGATCTCAATCCCTCGAACCTTTACAGATTTCTTCATGCATCAAGACGTGTGTCGTTAACACATCACAAGAATTCAATCACAGACTTTCAAATAAGCCCATGCATATACTCTCAACCAGGAAATTGACAGTCGCATATATACTCACGTTATGTGTCGGAAACCTTGGGACGTGAATATGAAAGATGCTCAGGAAATGAAGTCAAGAATATGAATGTCTAGTACTCTAGCAAAACCGTGCTCTCATACTCAAGTATACCATTATATCATTATTAAAAACATACCTTGTAACATATTATGTTAATTATCTAGCTCTGCACCGTGAACAACTGATCAAACAGCTCCCAGGCCCATAGTAGAGCTAGAGCTAGAAGAAATGAATGTCACTTCTCCAGAGGCCTATACATTTAAGCACGTTACAAGAATTCAACCGCACACTCTCAACAATAAAATTGGCGTTTGCTGCTCACGTTATGTGTCGGAATCCTTTGGGGCGTGAATAAATGAATGATGCTCATGAAATTAAGTCAAAAATATTGTGGCGGTCTAGTAAACCGTGCTCTCATTTTAGTAATCAAGTATATACGAGGTTAATTTCCTTGTCCGAAACTGTTTGTATAACGCAACGGCAATTAACTGCTTCATCATGGAGAGTTCAAAGTGTGTCAGTAATTATTATGCTTGATAATGTATTAGAAACATACCCCGTAACACATTAGCTCTGCATCGAGGTATCACCCGCTCAACGTCATCAACAGCTCCCAGGTCTATATCTGATCGAGAAGAGAGAAAGAGAGAGAGAGAGAGAGAGAGAGAGAGGGAGAGAGAGAGAGGCAGAATAAACGTAATAAGATAAAGAAATTACAGGTGCAAATACCATTATTGTATCAATGGACTTGAACATGCTTGATGTTGGCGTTGGTTACGGTTGGTATCGATTTCAACAAAAATGCTGTAACCCAACGTCGGGTTTGAATTCAATACGTTTGGAAATACCCTTGTAAATGGTCTTTTACATTGATGAATAGATGTACCGCATGCGAGCTGACGATGCTTCCCTCTATCAAAGGGTGTGGTAAAATACCCCCCCCCCCACATTGTTTGAAAGGGAAAAGGTGTATAAAAAATATCTCTTTGTCATGTCTCATGAAGCTTCCACACTCTTCTCAACATTTGAAAAATATAAAAAGTTCTGCAGTCCGTGCTATCGTGAGGGTGTATATTTAGCAAGGAGGCCGTGTGAAGAGCCAAAGTGACAGCTCCATGTCGCTCCATGTTTAATGGCTTCATAACATGGTGAATAATAATAATAATAATAATAATAATAAATAACATATTCTGAATGTCTCTCTATTTGGTATTTATGCAAATTGTACTAACTAAATAGTTACCACTAGCGTGTCCTGGGCAGCAAAAGAAACAATAATGTAAGAAAGAAAGAACCCGCCCCCCCCCCCCCACTCAGTGTTATTTAGGGTACGCATATGCGTGTTCCAACCGACCCCCCTCCCTTTTTAGCAAAAGTCCGGTGTGTAAAGTCAATACGGCTCGACCTTTTTCTTTTGTATACGAGCCTTTTTCAGCACACCCCCCCCCCCCTTTTCAGCAAAAGTCCAGTGTGTAAAGTCAATACGGGTCGACCTTTTTCTTTTGTTACGAAAAGGACATTTTGGCAACACGCATGGGGTCCGTCCGTTCTCGGAGTGGGGGACCGGGAGAAAGAAAGGACGAGGCGCAGTATAGATCAGGCGCGGATCCAGGATTTCTTAGGGGAGGGGGCCCAACTTTTTTTCTTTTTTTTTTTGCTCCCGAAAAGTCGCTCAGTGGGGGGGGGGGGGGGGGGGGGGGGGGGGGGGGGGGGTACAGAGCACATTTTTTTAAATTTTTTTTTGCTCCCGAAAATTTGAAAAACGCGCCGGCCAAAAATTCGCTCATTGGGGGGGGGGGGGGGGGGGGGGGGGGGGGGGGGGGGGGGGGGGGTGTGAGCACATTTTTTTTTTTGATCCTCAAAAAAATTTCAATTTGCACCCCCCCCCCCCCCCCCCTTGAGCGTCAGGGGGGGCCCAACCCCCCAAAAAGGTAAAAATCACGTGATTTTACATGATTTTTTTTCTCAAGGGGGGGCCCGGGCCCCCCGGCCCCCCCCCCCCCTGGATCCGCCACTGGTATAGATAATTCGTGGCTCGGCATTCTTGATTGAAACAGAGCACCCAATCCTGTCAGAATATTGTAGAAAGAAAGATAGAGAAATAAATACCTAAATGGAGCTATATGCCCAAGCTCGCGAGCCCTTGTTTCTTCTCGGAATACAGTCCAGAAGCCGGTGTTTTAGGACAAGAAGCAGTAAATGATTCGTAGCTCGGCAGTCTTGAAGGTATGTGAAATAGCATCTAATATATCAAAAGGTACAACGTAACTGAATAAACAAAAACAAAGTTAATGGAGCACTTTCCCCCTCCGCCTACCCCCCCCCCCCCCCCACCCAAGCCTGTTGAGCACCAGCTCTGACTCCGAAAATATGCAGACGAATATAAGCCCCTATTCGAATGTCTTTCACAATATAAAATTTTCATTTAAAAAAAATATATATCCCGCCTGACTTGAGATGGCTACTTCCCATAAACTTCCCGGAAAGTAGCAATAATTTCGTCGCTGTTTTCACGAAGTGACGATAGTGAAAAAAAATTGCATTCACTTTGCGTGACGATTTTCCTCACTACCGTCACTTCGTGAAAACAAGGACGAAATTTTATAATGAACCGCCCAAAACCTGCTCCATCTCTCCCTGCAGTGCCCACGCCCCCTCAACTTCGTACTCCCCCGGTAGACATCAGCTAGGATCCACCCAAAACTTTGCATGGCCCAAGGACCCAATTTTCATTCTTTTTTAATTTCTCGGCTGACTTGAGATGGCTCTATCCCACAACCCCCTCCCCCACCCCCTTAACCATCCCCCTCCCCTTTCCGGTGGATAGCAATACAAAAATGCCCAGATCTCGCCCCACCCCCTTTTCGCGCCCAAACCCCCATCAACTTCATCTCGCCTTAGGGAGCGCGGAGCTTCGGAGAGAAAGAGAGAGGTATCATGGGGGGACGGAGCGGGAGAAGAGGGCGGATTTGAGGGAGGAAGGCCAAAGACGAGAGAGAGGAAATAGTGAGAGTGTGAGAGAGTGTATATTTGAGAAAAATAGGAGAGAGAGTCAGAGAGCTAATTCCTGGAAAATAACATTTTTTTTGTTTTCATAGGTTTTTATTCGTTTTTCTCAAAGAAAATTGTACATTTATAACATAATACATTGGATACAAAATAACAAAATAATTTAACATAGGTCTTTATAAATTTACCAATGATCTTTTACATTTACATACAAAAGTTACACCTCTTCATTTTCCTTTGGAGACAAAAAAAAAAATTATATATATAAAAAAGGGAAAAAGCTACAAAACACCTACTACCCCCCCCCCCCCACACAACATTTAAACACATAACATGTACAACAGTATACAAAACACACGCTAACATAGAACGAGCAACAAAAAAAACAAAAAACAAAACAAAACAAAAAAAACAAAAAAAAAGAGAAGAGAAGGAGGGTCAGGAAGTTGTATATTGAGAGAAAAAAAAAAAAAATGAAAAAAATGAAAACATTTATTCTACACTTTCCAAAGCTTCCCATTTCCTTAAATGAATTGAAAGTGTGTCTCTTTCCATTGAAAGTTTTTTCTCTTCATTTCTATTTTCCAACAATCTATATTCTATTTCTTTTGCTTTTGGAGGGTTTCCCTTCTCTCTACTGTGGAAAATCATATATTTAATCAAAATTAAAATGTGGTTCAATAATTGCTCTGTTTTAAATGTAGTGTCATCTATTCCTATATGAATTTCTTTCCAGGATAATTTCTTCAAAATTGGTAAATTAAGTCTATCTCCACATTTCCCCCAGACTTCCTTTATTGTATTACATTCAAAGAATATAAATTATGTTGATAAGTTTCTTCAAAATTTTTGCAAAATGAGCACAAACCATTTTCATGGAACCTGAATCTATGTAAATGATGATTTGTATATAAAATATTATGCAATAATTTGAACTGAAATTCTCGCAGTTTACTACTGTCATCCTTGGTTGAACATATATCTTTTCTACTTCTTTTCTTGGAATATTGTAAAGTGTCATTAAATTGCCGCCTGCCGAGTTTGTTTCTACATTCTTTTTAATTTGACTCTTATATACCATTTTTGCAGTTAAATCTTCAAATGTAAACACTTTCTTTGAAAAAATAAATTCTAAACTAAAGCCAGTGTGAATTGCTTTTCTTAAAGGTTGAACATTCTGTTTCCATTCATAAGGGGCTACGTTATAAATTTGTTTTACTTTATCAATTTCCACTCTGCTCAAACCTAACATTATAAAATGAGCTTCAGGTTTCAATTCTCCATTTTCTTCACAAATGTGATGAATTCGATATATATTTTTCAAAAACAAAGTTTCCTCAAATAAGGTTTGACCTTCTAGTTGAATAAAATTATTATTATACAATATTTCATTCCCTTTGTATCTCTCTTCTGTTTTAACATATTCTTTCATATCTATCCATGCTTTCAGAAGATTCTGATAAAAGGAAGGTAACATAAGTTTCACTGTATCTCTCCAATAATTGCAATAAAATATTAAATTACCTCCTATCGGTCTCATTAAATATTTAAAGTATTGTTTCCACTTGATATCATGAGTTCCTGTTACAAGCCTTTTTATCCACATTATTCTTTGTGCTTTTACAAACAACCTAAAATTCATCATTTTGAGCCCACCCTGCTGATAGTCTAACATCATTGTACTTCTTTTAATTTTATCTTTACCTCTCCACAAAAAATCAAAACATATTACTTCCATTTCTTTGTATACCCACTCTGGAACTGGCATTAGTGATGTTACATATGTCAATTTAGAGTATCCATATACTTTCATCAATTGAATTTTACCCATTAAAGTTAGGTCACGCTGTTTCCACCACGTCAGTAGTTTTTTAATTTTGCTCAATATTTCCTTATAATTCATTTTTTCCTTGATATCTACATGAACTGAAAAATAAACACCTAATATTTTAACAGCATCTACAATTTTCCCAAACGGAAATGTGTTATTAGACACCTGTGGGCCCAGGGGCAGAATATATGTCTTATCCTTGTTTAACTTTAATCCTGATATTTTATAAAAACCTTCTAAAACGTGTTCTATTTCCTTAACTGAACTCATATCTTTGATGAAGAGTGTTATATCATCAGCATATAATACTTGCTTTATTTCTGTATTTCCAAAACAAATTCCTTTTACCAATTGATTGTTTCTAATCGTATGAGCTAAAATTTCAATGCATAAAATGAACAGGTATGGAGATAATGGGTCTCCTTGTCTAATTCCTCTTTCAACTTTAAAATAACCTGTTGATGCGTTTCCATTCATAACACAACTTTCAGTATTAGTATAAAGTATATTCACCCATTTACAAAACAATGGTCCAAACCCAAATGAA